CTCCTTACCGTTAAAGCCGATTCGCGAGAAAGGTATTCGCACCGGCCTAAAATTGACACTACGTTTCGTATGTAGCATGCCCGTATGGTAAGTCATGGCCCTATCAAGGCGATTTTTGATCGTGCTAGGATTTTAGATTTATTAAAAATCGATCTCCGTCCCCCAATTTATGACTCAGTGCTTTTTCCCATTGCTTTAAGTTTTTGGTCTTCTGAGTACAATACATTTATCTTCCCCCTTGGCCCAATGTTTATTACCCTGAGGGACATTGGAGCCCTAATAAACCTTCCGCCCTTGGGTGACACCATTTTTCCTGGCATTCTGGTTACTGCTGCTGTCCCAAAATTTGACAAGAAATTTATAATAATTCTAGTGTTGAACCTTCCCATGTTGAAGGTGTGGCCTTTCTTCAGGCTGGCTTTGTAAATACGTGCTTTGTGTGCCTAACATGAAACCTTCCATGAGTTATCTGCCCATAGCGCGTGAATTAGCACGTGATAGGTCTTTAAACCCCAAATTTGTCACTCATCCCATTTTTGAACAATTCTGACCTTCTGTTAAACGTAGGCTAGTCACAACTGACGCTAAAGGCGGCCAGAGACTTCCTCTTCTCCTCTTTCTTCCATTCCTGTATCTATCGGGAATCTCGTTTCCCCTTCTAAACGGCCACTTGCTCGTGTTAAAAGTTCTGCTCTTCCATCTGGTTCCCCACCTGCTCAAGCTAGTATAGCTAAAGGTGCTTCTAGCCGCAATCGACTAGCTTCAGCTCCACCAGTTTTGCCAGATGATGATGATGCTCCTCTCATCGTTAGGAGAAATGTAATTGAGCTTGTTTATTCATGAAACAACAATTCTTCATAGGTTAATGTTTTTACCTGAATTTTTCAGAAGAGCTCAACTTCTCCTTCGAAGGCTTTGCCTTTAGCAGCCCCTGCTCTATCGCTTTCTATTGAAGCTGCTTCATCCAAGTTGTCTGATGCAGGGGGCTTTGCCTAAAGAGAAAACCATAGTCCCAAAGTCTTCTCATGCACAGTTAACTGGCGAACTGCTACATTTCCAGGGCGTTAACCCCCCACGTGTTGAACCGGAAGGTAATCATATCTTATGGTCTTTTTTTTCTTGCTTGTACTATTGGCCTTCAACTCATTGCTACTTGAATTTTGCAGAGGTTCCAATGGACCTGTCCATCATGGCAGAGCCTGCTCGTCTAGACAAGGGGAAGTCTCCACAAGTGGCTGAGTCATCCAGTGATGTGCCCCCACTTCCCAAAGCTGCTGATGAGGTAGCATTTATTTTATCTTTCATCTTCACTTCATTTACTGCAAATGAAAATGCTAAATACTTGCATTTTTCTTTACAGGACACTAACGCCACCTTGCGCTCTATTCAGGACTTGTTCACTTTTTGGGAACAAGTAAAGACATCTCGCCCTTCTGCTTCATCTGCTGCATTCTCGGAAGAAAATATGAATGGTCTCAAGCAATCAGTGCTTGAATACGTTTCCTTCATGGATATGGATTTCAACAACGCAAGTGCTTCTAGCTAAAGAGATAAGTTTGAGCTTCTAAGTGAAAAATGGCTCAAGCACTTGAGCTTCCTTCCTTAATATTTCATCTGATTTTAAGCTGACGTTGAAGATTATCCATTCAGAGATAAGTGCTTTGCTAGCCAGGAATGTAGAGTTAAAAGCCAAGAAGACTCAGTATATTCGTGCTGTAAATCAAAAGGAGTCTTTGCTTTAAGAGATTGAAAAGACCAATAGCACTCTAAACGAAATCTCCACTGAGGTTATGGTTGAAGATTCTTTGATGATTAGCCTGGCTGCAGAGATGAAGGAACTCCAAGCAAGGATGGACAACTATAGGGCTAGGTTGGCCACCAAGAAGCGTACTGCTTCCCAAGAAATTGAGTGAGGCAAATCTTTGATTGAGCGTTACTCGAAATTGGAAGTTGATGAGGAACTTATGACTGACCTATCAACCGATTCCTCTGAACAGCACGATGAGTGGGAACACCTTAGAGAACAGATGCTCTCGCTTTGGGGCAAATTGTAATTAAGATATTAATGTTCTGACCTTTCTCGTTGACGATTTCGTCTTACATTGTCCTTTTTAATTTTATGATCGCCGCCACTGTCGGCTAAAATGTAATGGCAGCCAATTTCATCCATGGAATGATCATTTTATTCACTTGTGTAGTAGCTTTTGTA